AAAAAGTAATTTTAATAGTTATATTTTTAATTTTTGGTAATTTATCATATTTATTAGAAAGCATGTTAATCTATTTTTGGTAATTCTTGGATAATATTTGGTAATTATGACAAAATTATTGGTACTTTATTTTTGGTTATTTTCTTGGCTAATTTCTATTCATTTAAATATAATTACTTTTAATTAAAGTTTATAATTTAATTATATTACTTACAGTTTCAAATATAATTTAATAAACATTGTTAATTAATAAATACTGTAATTAATAATACTGCAATTATTGAAAATGTGTAATTATTAAAAGTACTATATTAATTAAAAATACTGTTAATTAACAAATTCAGTATTTCAATAAATACTTTTAATTAATTAATAATACTGTAATTATTAAAAATACTGTAAAAATTAAAAGTACAGTTAATACTGTTAATTAATAAAATACTATAATTATTTTATTACTTTTAATTAAAAAATACTGTAATTGTTAATACTATTTTTAATAAATTATAACTTAAATTATATTAATTAATAAATGCATTACTTAATATTATTTTTTGAATAAATACTAATAATTATTTAAAAATACTACTAATTAATAAATAAATTATTTTTAATAAATAAAATTAATACTATTAATTAATAAATATACTGTTAATTATTAAAAATATTGTAATTATTATTAATACTATGAATTTTAAAATACAATAATTATTATTACTACTCCCTCCCTCCCTCCACCCTCTCTCTCTCTCTCTCTCTCTCTCTCTCTTTGTTAAATATCTTTTTTAAATATAATAATAACATGCACTAAAATAATAGACCTTGGAAAACCCAAAGGTCTCTCGCTAATAATGTGCAGTTTTATTAATCTAATCAAGATAAGCAATGATTACTTTTTTATTTTTAAAACAAAAGATAATAAAAAAAATACAAAGAATTGAGAAAATAGATAAATAGGTTCTCTCAAAGGAGAGACTTGCTGACATATACCATCCAATTTCATTATACAGTAAGAAGTGTATTCTTGTTGATCAAGTGTTTGAGTTTATGCGTGTATGGTGTAAATTAGTGCCTTTTCGTATTATTGTTATTTAATTCTAAGAAATGCGGTTCTAATTCTGAGAAATAGGAATCAAGTAAATGTGTCAAATACATCTGAAAATTCTCTAGATGAAAATTCTCATAATCCATTCTTTTCTAGAAGGATCCTAGGAATATGAATTTTCAGAATTGATGCCAAACATGGCCTAAGTTTCCACATTTTTTTAATTCTTTGATTTAGAATTGGATTTGCTCCACTAAGTTCCTTTTGGAGAAATTTCTTGGTTGAGAATTTACCGTTAGGAAACATTATTGGTACATAATTTTTACAATTGTATGTGGGTGTACACATTCCATATAACTTTATCCTCATTTCTATGGAAAATATGAATTCCCAGTATTTTCGCAATTTACCCAGATTGTAACAAATTTGACAGAAGATGAGTGTCATAGTTCTTTGTTTCCTGGGAGATTAAAATCTCTCCCTTGGATCTTTTGACTCTCTAGATGGAAGACCCATAGTGCTATAGAAACCTTGAAGCTAGTGTTTTCCAATTGTCTAGAATAACTCTTTAAGTTTTGAAGCTAGTGTTTTCCAAATGGAGGACCCATGAATAGGAAATTTCCTTGGCATACACTAGGGATTTGGAAGATACTTACATTCCAAAAGCTACACCCATAGGTTATTTTTCTTCTTGAGGAATCTCCAAGCTAATTTACATAGAAGATCTTTATTCATAGCACCTAGGGGTGTTCACATTAAATGTCAAACTGATCAAACTGGCCTGACCTAACCCGAGTTGGTCAGTTTTTCAAAACCACTGGTCAGTTTCGGTTTGTATGAGAAAATAAACCGACTACTCAATTCGGTTTCGGTTTTCATACATGAAAGCCAAAACCAAACCAAACCGAACCGAACCGAACCGATCCTATATATTTAAATAATTATTAATTAGTCCCTACCCTATATGTTAAACGTTGATATATTATATTTGTATTTTGTTTGAACTTTGAAAAAAAAATTGGTTATTTATGATAAAAACTAAAAACGTAAAACCAATACAAATATAATACAATGGTATAATATTTAATTCAGTTTTGTATACATTTAAATATATATTGACAAAAAATCACTTTTGCATAAAACGTAAAACCAATACAAATATAATACAATGGTTATCAATTCCACTTGTTTTCTAAGGGATTTTTAGCTTCCATTTGATGCATTTCACTACGAGCAGGGAATCCCCTTCTATTATTATGCTATCTTTGTGCGTCTATAGAGTTGCCCAGATTGTTTCCTTTGCCAGTCTCACCTCCACCACTTATATGGAGCACAAACTGATCTTCATGTGTGTAGTTTTACAATTTAACCTCAAAAATATCTTTCCACCCATCCTATGGTTTGTACCACTCTTTCTCTTTCTTCGACATAGGAAGCATCAAAGTGTATTTTGATTTGATTGTAGCATGGAAGATTCGACTTGATAAAATGCACAATTTTAACAACATTGGATGTATTTGAAGATCGAGTAATTTCAGTTTTGCTTATAGTTCTTTACAAGTGAAACAGAATAGAATATACTGCAACGTTGAATTACTTGCACTTATGGTCGTTTTGGCTAGACTTCATTTTGTTGTCCTACCTTACTACTTTTTTAATTGAAATGATCTATGGTAATACAGGTTCAACTATATATGATGCCAAAAAGACATGAAACTGGAAAAACTTAAAACCAATCAATCAACATCATAAAAGTGATAACCAATCAAGTGTGGGTTTTCATCAAAATTCAAGTGGAGACTTGGTTGATCAAAGCTTTTCCGGTATCATAGATTTTTTTCATGAGAACCCTAGCTATGTGTAAAATGGCGAATCTATATCTATATCTATACTATCTATACAAGTATTAATTAAGGTGCAAACGAGAGTATGGAACATTTGTTTGACTAAAATACCCCAACTGTTTATTTTAGTATCTCTCTAATTATAAGGATAGACATATAATTTAAACAACCACTTGTCTCCTTATTCAAATCACTCTCATTAAGTCTTATGTTTAAGGCAATAACTCCCATTAACATTCATTAAATCATATCTTTACTAGAATACCTTTTTTTTAATTTGGTTCCTCTCTAATCGTGAGGCACAAAATGTAATTTGAATTATTACATTTCTCCTCATTCAATTCTCTTTCATTAAATTTTGTATTTAGGGTATGAACCCATTCTTTCATTGAGTCTTATATTAATTAACAATATTAAAAAAATATGTGTAACAAAGAATAATTGTTTTTATTGATGATATAAATAAAATACAAATGTAAAACTAACCCAAAAAATGGAGTTGTTTTCCTATTTGGTGGTCAGCCAACAATTCAACCTTTTGGGTGAAAATGTGTCAACCTTTGATGTCATTGTTAAATAATAAAAATTAAAAAAAAATGAAAATAATACAAGCGTATAAAAAATACAAAAAAATTTGTAAAAACATTTGAACGCAATTCTAATATTGTATATTCATCACATTAAACAAGAAGTGTGACAAATAAGAATATTTTTATAGAGATAAAAATATAAAAAAATATAGACAATTTTAAAAATATATCATTCACTATCACCATCATAAAAAAATTGCTACTGCAAAGTACATGCATACTTACTAGTCTATATAAGAAAGAGGAAAGAGAAGAGGCAATGGTCCTCTCACCATATTGCTTACACTTAGGCATAGCTTTTCTTAGTTCTTACACGATTGAGTTTTCTATATTGAAAGTACCAAAATGATACTTTTTATGTCCATAAATGACCTCTCAGTCCTTTTCGGCCTCCCTACTATAAATGTTTATTTCTTTCCTTTTCAGATAAAAATTCAATGCCAAAATCCATTCTTTCCTAAAAACACTTTCTCTCTCTTACACATACATACACACTCCCTAAAAAGTAATGTATGCTCAATTGCTCTAATTAACCATTTAATCTTTTCAAACCTTCCTTCCCTTTGACCTCTTTCATCATCCCTTCTACTTCCGAGCTCTTTCCAATTGCCATGAACAATGAAAATTTTAATGAAAATTCCAAGCTCTTTCTAATTTAATATAGTTTTGTTTGATGGATTGTGCACTTAATGTGAGCCTTCGGTTATATTTGTCAATTTAATTTTGAAATTATTTTTTTACTTGGTTATTGATCTCATGTTGAGCATATTTTTTGGCATTACAAGGCTACATAATGTGGGGTAACTCATTCCATAAATCTTTAACCCCAACCTTAGTGGCATTGGGATTTGATCGCAAGTCCCACTACAACCAGCCAAAGAACCTACCAATTAAGCCACCATCATGCTAAACAATTGATTTATGTATTTCTCACTATGTATATATAACTTATATAAAAAGGAATAAGTTTGAAGCTCAATAATTAAAAGAAAATTATTTTTCTTCTTTCTATATGTAAAGAACTAGAAATATATGTAACTGTTACTTCATTTTTGTCCTTAAAAATAAATTTTTAAACAGCAGCCCATGTGATCACTGGTCACCACTAATCTTTAAAAACTAAACAAAATATAAAAAATTTTCTAGTAGGCACAATATAGTAAGCACGTTTAATGAGCACTTGATAAAATATTTTGACAACTGTAAAAAGTGATTTTTACTCCTTTATAAGGATAAATTAGGGGTGTTTTAAGGGACAGGTGTTAAAAAATTTTCTAAATGCTCATTAAACATGCTTACAATATTGTGCCTACCTGATCCGAGATGGGAAGGGAGTGGGGATATGCCGTTGACTCTATGGGCGATCATTCTTAGCCCGGCCCGGCCCAGCCCGCAAATTTCTGGGCCCCGTTTGTCTTAGGCCCAGCCGGTATGGGTTCGTCTTAATCCCGGAAATTTGCAGGCTGAACCCGAGCCCAAGCCCGACAAAATGGCTTGACGAAATACAAAACCCTAAGCCGTTCTCTTGAATAAGAATTGCCAAACCCTAATTTTACCCCCTCTTGGCTCTCTGTGCTTGCTTGCGCGACGCGAAGATCCAATCTATCTATCGAACGATCTCGCCGGCAAAATGGTGCTTTTCCGTTTGTCATGTCTTAACTTTCTTGTTTGATTTTCGTAGGCTTTATATGCTGATCTGTCGTTCATGTTACAGAGATTTATGTATTCTTTTGATTGTCTTAGTAATTCGATCTGAGTTCGTTTGAATATTTTCAGTCTCTGGTTGCAAACGAAGATTTCCAACACATTTTGCGTGTTCTGAACACCAATGTGGACGGAAAGCAGAAGATTATGTTCGCCCTTACCTCAATCAAAGGTATTGGGAGGCGATTCGCTAACATCGTCTGCAAGAAGGCCGACGTAGACATGAACAAGAGGTTGGTTTTCACTTGAACTTTATTTGTTTATTTTCCCGTGCTATTTTATCTTTCTATGTATTTTTGTTTTTCTGATTTTTACTAGTTTCGAGCACTTTATTTCTTTCTGTTTATATGCAAATGTTAATGACCTTTTTTTTTTATTTTTTTCGTTGTTATTATTTAACGGGCATCTTTTCTTTTCTTTTCTTTTTTATTTTTTTTTGGGTGGGGTTCTGGTAGTTCATTACAATTTTTATGGTTTGATTTTTTGTTAGAGATTAAGGAAATACTGGCATGGTTTTGTTAGGGCTGGTGAACTGTCCGCAGCAGAGCTTGAGAATCTCATGGTGATTGTTGCGAACCCCCGTCAATTCAAAATCCCAGACTGGTTTTTGAACAGAAAGAAGGATTACAAGGATGGGAGGTATTCTCAGGTGGTGTCAAATGCATTGGACATGAAGTTGAGAGATGATTTGGAGCGTTTGAAGAAGATCAGGTAATTTCTATTTTGCTGTACGGTTATCTACGAGTGAAATGGAATTTATTGCAATGTTGAATTATTTGCACTTATGGTCGTTTTGTCTAGATTGTGTTTTTGTTTTTTTTTTTTCTGCCTTGCTGTTCTTGCAAATTACAATCGGAGCATTTTACTCGGTGATGATTTCTAAACCTCCGGGCATGAAATGGTCTATGATACCCCCGCTACATGTAGGTGGCGCTTCTTGTTGGGTTCTTCAATTTTACTGTAAATTCTAGCTGCTTCCTTGCCAGATTTTTGTAACATAGGACATGATTCCTTCAAGCCTTTTTTTTTTTGCATTATGGCTTTACTGTTTAGTGCCAAGGCATTCTAGCATTTTCTCTTTCTTTTTTTTTTTGAGAAAAGGTAACATATGATTATATTAATAATAGGTCCTGTGTACATTGAGAAGCTGTACAAAAGAAGGCCATCCTCAAAAAAGTATAATCAGAAAACCTATCTTTAAAAACCGTATGTATAGACATTCAACTTTCAAAACTTCTATTGACCAGTTAATGACCTCCGCTTCTTTAGAAGATTGTTTTTCAAAAATCCTCTTTTTCCTTTTTGACCACAGCCCACAGCACTGCCAAAGGGATGGAGTTCCAGCATAATTTTTCTTTTTTAGACATCCCCTGAATCTGCCATTCATCAAACAGAGCTCTAACTGAGGCTGGCATACACCAACTTAGATTCAGAGATTTGAAGAAGTGAGACCAAACTGCAGAACTAAACTTGCAGTGGAGGAAGAGATGCCCGGATGATTCCACTTGCTTATTGCAAAGACAGCACATCCAATCTGACAAAAGATCCCTTTTTTCATCAGCATTTCTTTGGACAAACACCTGTCTAGAATCGACACCCAAACAAAAAACTTGACTTATGGAGAAGCCAAAGTCCCCCAAATTGCCTGACTAGGGAGAGGGGTTTCAGACCTCCCTACTACAAAATTGTAAAATGATTTGACTGAGTATTCTCCTGACTTCGACGATTTCCACACTCTTGAGTCTTGCATCTGAACATCTAGTTGTTGGTCTTGTAACAGATTGAGAAAATCTGCTACCTGCTGAATTTCCCAGTCATTTTCTTAAAACCAGTATTTTAGCCTGCTGCTAGTTATGGTCTTTCATGTTAGTAATATAGAAAATCTCAGTGAACAACATGGCTCTATTATTTAGTACTAAGGTTGCTTCCAATTGCCTTTGGCCTTTTCCCTCTTAAAGCAAGAACTTGAGTGTAGTATCATTATCAAGTTCTATTAGTAAAATCTGATGTTGTCATTGAGATGGACCACTGTTCAAAGTGGAGTACATTTTCTGTTCTCTACCCACTTTCTAACTTCTTTTTCGTTGTTGTGACTTGTATTCTTGTATCATGCATGCTATGCTTTAATGAGTTAAGTCTTGTAAAGTGATAGTAATAGGCTAATAGCATTCTTTCATTTGAAGAACAGGAAAATTTAACTAGAATCTTTAGCCATGTTACCCAGATATGGCAAGGAAACAGATGGGTACCATATCAGATCTGAAATTTACACTAAAAATGAAGCATCCAACACAATATTAGCACCCTTGTACAAGTATCCAGGTATTATAGATAATTAGGTAGTAGAAGTAGATTTGGTATGTCATGTGTGCTCATGTTGACATGTCACCTAGGCAATGGGTTTGGGAATGGTTATTTGAAAATTAAATGTTTATTCTAATAAGCATTCATGAGTGTTTGATGAAAAAACACTTATTTCACACAGTGGTAGTATAGGTATTTTCAAAATGACGTAGCAGGCCAAGACAGACCAGAAACTAACTCAGGAATAAGCACTTATTCAGGCTTATTTCCCAAACGCAAATAAGTGCTTATTGGTATGGTCCCAGCCCAAAACAAGTGCTTATTCAAAATAGTGCTTATTTTTAAGCACTCCCAAACTTAGCCTAGGGTAGTTCCTTAGGTTTCATAGTAATAAATAGGGATCTTTAACTAATAATTACCATAATCCTCATGAAATAAGTATAAACCCCATAACAAAAGATAGAAAATCAGCATATTTATGAGAAGAAAAATAATAAAGGAAAGAAAAATACAAAACATAAGGGTCAAGCCCTTGTTTTGGTCCTAGGAGGAGGAGGAGAAGTCCTATTGATTATTCTTGTGTGTCAATTGGATAACATCTTCAAGTGATTTCTTACTTGTAAGTGAAGGGTTCATGACTATGCGACTGACTTGTGCATCAGTGACAATTCCTAGAATTAGTGATCTAATTCTTCGAGTCCTATTTCTTGTGCATTGATTGAACCCATACAAATAAGAAAATAATAAAAAGAAACTAGTATAAAAATTAATAATATAAATACTATAAACCCACAATATGAATAATTTAGTCTAATAATATCTATTGCACTGTTATTAATAACATAAAATAAAAATATAAAAATATTGCATGATGTCTTACATATAAATATGTAGACGTTTGGGCGAGACAACCCTCCAAGAATGCCTTGTTGCCTAGGTGTCACCTTGACAACTATGATTCTACATTAGGTATAGAAACTAGTATCCTTTATCAAACCACGGCAAATATATCATATTTATACTACACAAAAACAGTACTAAGTACTAACTACTTGTATATTCACCAGCTCTGGCCCATGTAGTGTCTTATCATGCTGGGTCTGTATATGTTTTTTTTTTTTTCAAGTAATGAAACAATACTTCTTTCTCAAAATAAAAAAAAAGTACATTAACTAGTTCTGAACTTGGAATGGGAAGGTTGAAGCTGAAGGAGAGGGGAAATAAGGAAAAAATAAAGCGATTTTTGGGGGGAGTAGGAGAAGGATCAGTGGAGGATCATTGATTTGGTTGATAAAAAAAAGGATCATTGATCTGGTAGTTGGTCTTTTAGGTGTCTTAGTGTTTTCTTTGTAATGTAAGAAGGTAGTGCCTGCCTTTATTTTTTTGGTGAAAGTTGATTTTTTTTTTTGTTTGTTTATTCAAATATTCTGAGTATGGTGGGGTGATAGTTGTTTGTTTTCTTTTTTATGATTCTTTATCACTGCTTCTTGTACCCTATCTTTTTTTTAATGGATTTTTTTCTTTACTGTCAAATAAAAAGGGAAAAAAGATGTTCCCAATTATCAACCTCACAGCCTTGATCATGAAAATAAGGTGATGGATGCTAGTTTATCCTAATTCTTGTCTGTTACTTTTGTGTATGTAAATAGGTCTTTGCAAATAAGTTGGCCTACTCGTTGGCTCAAAAAGGTCTATCTGACTCTGGCTCTTTCTGTTTTGAGTGTCCTAGGTGGTTGGTGATTTTGTGAACCCAGACTTGAATAGTCCTTGTTAGTGGTGTTCCTTCTGTTGTCTTCAATATGTGATCACTTATTTACAAAAAAAAAAACTCAGCCTTAATCCCAATTATTTGAGGCCAACGAATCTTGTCCTGCCATTGTTTACTATCAAGAGCCATGACTTGAATTGGCTCGAGGTTTTTATGTTGGCTGCCGACTTGACACAACCTTCTTTATCTGGGATTGGGGTTGCTGGTGCATAACAACCTATTACTGCTGGAAATTTAGGGTTCCTATCTATGTATTCAACCTTTTTTCCCCATTTGTTCTTAAGCCTTCTTTAGGTGTATCACTGTGTCTTTGTTCTGAGGGACCCCAAAATTGTCAAGAATTTGATGTAATGTCTCATTTTTACTTTACAGTTAATACTTTCCTTCATATAACTCAGCTCAACTCAACCTTAACCGCAAGTATTTGGGTTCGGCCGCTGTTTTCTTTCATGTCTTTACTATGTTTAGTCCATTACTTGGGTTTTGCTTTCCAGTTAACTGCTGCTTTCCTTCATACAATTCAGCTCAACTCCACCTTAATACCGAGTATTGGGGGTTGGCTGATGTTTTCGTCCATGTGTTTACAATGTTTACTTCATTATTTGGTTTTTTACTCCTTATTTTCTATTACGCAGGAACCATCGTGGTCTTAGGCACTACTGGGGTCTTCGTGTCCGTGGCCAACATACCAAGACTACAGGCCGCAGGGGGAAGACTGTTGGTGTTTCCAAGAAGCGTTGAGATTTTTGTTCTAATCTTTATTTTGAATGTCATACTATCTAGGTGATCGGGTGAGGGTTCTGTGTCATGAGTTTTCAAACTGTGATCATTTCTTGAAATTTTGAGATGCTATTTGCTTGTGGTGTAGTGATTGACCATGGAAATACACTAGAATTAGTGATAGGTAACTGTGGATTCATTACTTTAGTACCGTAGGTTATCTTTATTTCTAAGTTTATATTATACATGAAATCTTCCGTTCAACATACTTTCATATTTATTATGTCTGAGTACATTTTTGAATCTACAATAGTTCTTTTTAGTTCCTTCTATTTTTCTTGACCGTAGCCTGTAGGGTTGTGATTTTCATTGCAAGCAAATGGCCAAGGTTTTAGAGTCCTGGATCTTAATGAGCGGCAACCACGGTTCATACTTGAAAGTATCTATACACAGATACGCTAAAATTGCGTATCATCATGTGTTTTGAACGAGTGATACACTTGGATTAAAAGAAAAGGAATTACGTTTCAGGAGTTGAGCCAGAATTCTCTTTGGAAGACCAAGAGAGTTCTGCCAAACTCCATGTATTTAGCGTTTTGGGTATCTTAATACTTCGATTCATTGAACCTTGGGGGCAACGGTAACCAAGAATTTGAATCAGTCAGTGACTGCGAACATATGAATAGGGTGTCCAACCCAAAACCAATCAAATTCGATTAACCATATATTTCGGTTCTATTAGCTGCCCCATCAAATGGTTGCTCACCCCTCCATCAGATTCAAAGGAAAACTAACCAAATGGGAAACAGTCATGGGTCAAAGTTGGAACGGCTCCGATTCTGACGATGACTATTTCTTGTAAAATCAGATTTGATCCTCATAAAACCATGCTCACACTTTGCAGTCTCTTGCAGTTTTGCATTGGCATGAAGAAAAAGCATGATATTCCCAATGCACGGTTTTTAAAGGCTGTGAGAACGGGGATCTTGCGAGCACTCAAGCCCATCTCATTTCTTGTTCACAGTGGAGTTCTCTTCTTAACCTGACATAGATTACCCTTATACGTGGAATCATTTCGTTGGCCTGTTTGAGTGGAAAAAAAAAAAACCCACCTCAATACAAACTTGTGAACCAAAGTGAACTGATGAGTTCAATCCCAACGCTCCGGGTGAGAATTATCAATTATGCACACGGAAAGCCAGCAGCCTCATATGCCACCAAATGTTCTACCAGATAGAAGTTAAGCCATTGGTTGGCCCAAAACAAGCCAGAGGGAACAGCAAACGAATCCATGGCCGGCTTGTCCGTCTCGCCTGTCTTAGTGGCTGGGTCAGCTCTATATCCAGCTATTGGGGTGTCTTGGTTTAACCCAAACAGAGCTTATTACAAGTAGGGAAAAGGAAGAAAGAAACAAGCGAGGCCATTTGATAGACCAAAGTGTCTGTGGTGCATTATTCTTTTTGCAGATGCATTGACGGAAAGGCCCACACACACCCAACGCAAGTGGAGGCTTGGAGGTTGGAGCAACTCTGAGTTACCATAGCATTCTCCTAATACAACAAGCAGAGATATGGGATGGAGAAGTCTGCCATTTAGTGAACAAGAGACTAAGTGATGTCCTCTTTGTTGCAGTAGGCTAGCAGCATGTTCAGGGTCCCAAAACCCCACCTTCCGGACTCCGGCCCTCAATCTTCCAACTTCCACTCTCTCTTCACTTCTTAAATTTCAGTCTGACGTTTCATTCTTCAATGGGGTATTCGTCATTATGTATGCATATGAAAGTTGAAGCAAAGTTCTTAATCCTCCATTCCAGAAGAGTGCAAATCCTCCAATAAAATTCATTCCAACATGATCTCACACTGCACATCTCATACATCGCGGGTTGGAACGTATGGTGTTAGATCAAGTTGATAGAGGGTTGGAACGTGTTTTATTGGCAGAAGGATCCCTATTGCAATCACCTCCTTTGAACTTTTTAACATAATTACACTTAGACCATCTTTATTATAATTTTCTAAATAGAGGCATAAAAATGTCTAAAATACCTATACAATTGCTTTTGACAAAAAATGTTTATTTTTCAAATCTTCTCTTCATATGAAATTTCTAGACCAAACCCTTCTAATCTCTTTTCTGAATTTGATTTATTTTTCAAATTTGCCCTTGATATTAATTGCTCAAAGGTAAAGTTGCAAAATAAGGCTATGTTTGGTTTGAAGAAAAAAGTAGGGAAAAGAAAGGAAAGGGAGGGAAAACTTTACAAACCTTGTATAGATTTCCCTACCTTTCCTTTCCTTTCCCTATCTTTTCCTTCAAACCAAACATGGCCTTAAGTTCTCTATTTTTCGTTGATTATAAAGTTTGTATTGTTTTTTTTAGAAACCAGCCTAACATAGGAATACAAACAGACTGCGTGTAAAGTCTTGTTTACCTTTTTTTTTTTAGATTTGATTTTGTCTTATTTGTTTGCAAGAACTAAAATAAACTAGTACCCACTTTATATAAAAGAAAATGGAGGTTGGAATAGGAGTGTTACTTGTTTAAGAATGAGGTAGGAAGTAACATGATGTAGTTCACTGAGATAGAATCGAAATAGGAGGAAGGTGAAGCAGATTTTACATCAATTTTTTAAATACAAAATTTGCACTGCTAGTGAGTGCAAATGAGACATAAGCACAATTTTTGTATCATGAATGAATTCAAATCAATGTGACAAACAAGAATTTGGATTTAGTCCTTACAAAATTCATCCTCACACCATCCTCACATACCTTACAACCATGCATTGGGAATATCTCCCCATGAATAGAAACATACAAGTTTGGAGATGTTTGTGATGCACAGTTGTAAAGGCTGTAAGGATTGTATGAGGACAGATTTTCTAAGGACAAAATCCAAAATTCCACAAACAAAAATAAAAACTGAACTAGGTTCAAAATTTGTACCCAATTCAAATTTACACTACAAATGATTAAAAGATAAGGCGTGTGTTTTATTCCATTGGTGTTTCATTATAGGTATTTATCAAAATGCTGTCATGTCATCATCAAATCAACATTTAGCCCATCATAATGATCTGTACACGCATAGATATTCACAAAAGCTGGCATTGATTTATGGGCACGCCTGCTGTTGGGGAAGCTTCATTTGCTTCCCCCAACGGTTATGTGTTCATTCACAGTTCTGCTAATGTGACACCTACTTGGCATAAACGGTTGATATCATTACTTTTCTCGGTTTTGAAGACAAATCAAATACAAATGTTTAGTTAATAAATGGAAGCTCTACCAAACACATACAAAGAATCTCTCTTGTTTTATATCAAGCAAAAGATAGCCTTAAAGATGATACTTTACACTAAAACCCAAAAATCCCTTTCCTCATATTTTTCCCTCAAACCAAATACAGCCTAAAGGTTAGATCACACACACACACATGAAAAAGGCCATTTTTGCTTTCAAACTATGATAAATTGCCATTTTAAAGTAAAAACATATGATATTAGAGATAAGGTTCGATTAGACATATAATAACATAATAAGGCCCGCTGATGTGGTATTGTTCAAATCAAAAAATTATGACTTCTTCTTCTTCCCCTACTCTCTCTTCATTTTTTGATTTACTAATTACTATCTTATTAATAATTCGTTCATAAATAATTATTTTCATTAATAATTAATTAATAAAAATAATTATTTTGTTTTTATTCTTTCTGAAATGTGAATAAGTGGGAATTTTGGTGGGATCCACCTGCTATTTTTTCCCTAGAAATTACTTAAATTGAAAGAGCAGATTTTTTTGTTTTTATTAATAATTAATTATTAATAAAAATATTTTTTCTTTTTATTCTTGACCACATCAGCGAGCCTTATTATTTTATTATTTGTCTAACAATACCATCAATGTCTCTAATGTTGCAGATTTTTGCCTTAAATAGCTTTTTCACCATGGTTTGAGGGCAAAAATGGCCTTTTTGAAACTTTAGGGGCCCAAGTAGCCTACTTGCAAAGTTGAAGGGTCATCAGAGCCAAAAATCCTAAATAAAAGACAATCTCTCTCTCTCTCTCTCTCTTGACCCCCTAATGCACATATATCACTAAGGGTATCTGATTATCCAAATTTAACTCCAAAATTCAATTTGATTAATCTGGATTTGGATTTTAAAAACCAGATCTGTTAGTGGTTGGATCAGACCTCGAACTAAATGATAATCCCATCCAACTGAGATCTGGGTATGAAAATATCGGTAATATATACATATGCGTAATGTGTATATAAAATTAATATATATTTATTGATAAACTCCTTTTAAAAGATATTTTTGTTAAATGATGCCATTTTTGGTTTTTTAATTTTATATATACATGTATGTATATATAAAATGATCTAAGTTTGATCAAAATCCGACAGATAAAATTCAATTCAAATTTGAATATTATCAGGATATGATCCAACTGGGTAGCTTGGGTCCAATTACAGCCCTAATAGCGGCCCATTTGTTTTTTCAGGCAAAACCCTGTGAGCCCATCCAAATGTTATGGACCAAAAAGACTGGGCCAGAACAACCCAACCCAAATGTTGGGAATCGGGATGATCCAGAGTAGTCTGCATTGTAGATATGATGATTAGAGCAAGATACTCTTTCCATACATCACCTCCATGTCCCCCATATCAATCCTATCACTGACTCTCTACTCAGACATGATTCAATGCAATCATATTAACCACACGAGGGGCAGCGTTCTCTCAATGGAATTGCCCAAATCCACTTTGTTGGCTAAAAAAGTAACAATCAACTGAATCAAAACTAGCATCATTGTGTCAATGGAATTGAATCCCTAATGCAAGCATTTCATCAAAAGAAAGGATAAAGTTCAAATCATCTCCAGGTTCCAGGTATAAATATAAAACAAGTCAACAACACTGCTTTTCTAGCTTTGTAGGCCACTAAAAGCAAGTAGGAAGACAAGCCTAGTTATGCCTTCTATCATTGTTTCTGAGCTCGATAAAAGCAAGTAACTAAAATCACTTATTTTCCGGTGACAAAAGAAAGGAAAAGAAGAAAAGGGGTTGATCTGTCTGTGGACTGTACGAAGTCCGACAACATAACCAAACACTTGTTGTGTGTAGGGTACCATGCATGAGATGGATAGTCCTGATCCAGACCATTCAAACGGCTGATCTGATGTTCTTGCAATTTGGGGCTTCTGGGGAGCTTAAAACATTGATAAAAAAGGGATGCCCACCTGTGGCTTCAAATTGTCCAGCTTGGTTTGAAGCTTG